ATAGTGATGAAATCATCTGTGTATTGTTTTAGTTTTCTTAAAGTAAAAAGTTAAATGAGGAGTTGAATGATTTTGCATACACAGATTTTATTTCTTGACGATTCTATTTGGCCTCCTGGAGGGACTGAGTGACTTTAGGTGGAATAACCGGATCTGTTTGCTCTTGAGAAGCAGGCACAAGTCCGCGGGAAGGAAAGGCAGGGAGACAGATGGCCAGCTATTGTGTTACAGCCATCATCTGCTGGGCCGTGAGCAAATATTAAGTGAATAGTGTATAAGTAACTGGTGTGAAAGTACAGTTGCAACATTTCTAATATGGTTTGAAGGATGGCTAGTTCTTGAACATTTGTATTTCGTGGAATACTATATTGAAATGTTTTTGTTTACAGGGTTAATCCATTTTAAACTGCTTTAAAGTGAACATTTTACCCCATTTTGACACCACTGTGCAATATTTTGAATTGAAATGGCCTGTAATGGCCCTTTTTTTATTTTCCATAACAACACGAGCACTAAATTATAGCTGTGCAATTATGTAAACAATGGAAATGCTTCCAGAATGAATCCTTCCTTTAAAATTTTCATTTTGTGTAATTGTTGGAAGGTTTGGAGCCATAATAAACAAAATTATTTTACACATTTATCATTCTGAAGGTCAATTATAAGAGAACTAAAGAAGCAACACTATGCAAAATGAATAAACCAATTTCTGTTGCCATCACCATATGTTTTTCTTATCACTTATGGTTTTTCCAGTTACTGTGTACATAGCATTCAATTAAAGCGATTCATTTACCAGGCTGAATGCAGTTTGTGTTTATAGAACTGTGCTTTGGAAGAGAGGAAACAACACGCCTCTATTTGAATTACCTGATTTTTTGCAAGATCAGTGATAAGAGACAGATGTTCTCACCAGTTACTTTCTCATAAGCCTGAATCTTTTGATAAGCTGCAAATTCACAATTGTCATCTGACAATGTAGCTTTATATACTTGATATGTGGCATGCACATGGACTTTTAACCAAACTAGAGAAAAATGCCACTTTGGGGGGCTATTCACTATATTAGAACATTTTGCAGGATGAATTTTATTTCCTTTGAATAAAGGCATGTGAAAGGGTTTTGTCTATGCTTCATACTGGTCAGCTTTCAAGAATAAACTTAATTTCTACTTTAGACTCCATTCATCATTGAGCTTATTGTCTCAAGTGTGGAAAAGAAACTAATTCTTGCTACACAGACTCACTTGTTTGAGTTAAATTCTAGAAACCCTTAGAAGATTAAAACTAGAAAATCTAAAATGATCATTATCCTGTTTTGTTTCTTTATTTGCCTTATAAATTATATACACCATGGCTAATCGTTGTTATGCTTTGTTAATGATGTTGAGAGATCACTAATTTCTAGAGCTTTTTAATTTCTGGGATAATGTGCAGTCCAAGAAGCTTGTTTGTGCCACCTTTAAAATGTTTTAAAATATGTTTTCTGTCGATGAGCAAAATAATAGTTCACTGAATTATGCTTTATATAAACCTATAAAGTAAATTCTACAAAGTAAAACCCTTCAGAGTCCTTCCTTTTTTTTTTTTGGCAGCTGGCAGTAGGGAATCCGAACACTTAACCTTGGTGTTATAACACCCACTCTAACCAACTGAGCTAACCGGCCAGCCCCCAGAGTCCTTCCCTTTTTGAAAAAAAATTTTTTTACTTTCTACTCTGTTTACTTCTGTAGGGCCCTTTTCAGTTTACAAATGCATGTGTTTACATCTACTATCTCATTAGATACAACTTTTTAAGGGGATGTCATCCCATTTTATGGAAGAAAAACATGAAGCTCTAGGCAGGACATGATCTGCCCACCGTCACATAAACAAGGCTTTGAACCCAGGCCTCGTGGTCCCAGTTCTAGAATTCTTTTCACCACCCCAGAGTTTGAGTATAGGGGCGTTTCCCACTCGTGGTCGTAGAGGAGGCAGCACTGAACAGCATTGAATCACACAGTGGGAATGATGGCCTCTCTCCTCGTCTCTGCCAGTCCTTGTGACACCCTAGGTAGACCAGTTAGAGTTGGTAGAAGAACTTCTCTCATACCACCAATACTGCAAGCAGGAGAGCTGGTCTCAGACTCAGAGTCTCCATCAGACAGTGATATTTTTAGCAAAAATTCAATAGCTTTGGTTTACTGTCATTGTATTGATTTAAGGGTTATTTTCTATTTGTGCCCAAGATGCTAGGTTTTTTTAGAGTAATTTTATTTATTTAAGTTTTAAAAAAGTGATTCACTTTGAAAAACCTATTAGGCAAATAATGTTCATATTCAATGTGAGTCTCAAGATTTTTATTTTGTTTTTCCAAAGATGCCAGTTATAGCTGTGATCTTAATGTATCAGGGGGAAGGTGAAAGGATTCTACTGTGAGTTAGAAATGACAGGAGCATTTTGTGGATGTCCCTCTATTGGGAATATGCAGTGTTCTCTTCTGAGTACCATGTGGTTGTTCCTAATTTTAAAATGTTATCACAAGGATGTAATCTTTGAGTTGTTCCATTTCATTGTGGATAAGCAAAATAAGCAGGCATATGGCCGTAATTTGGCTGACTGGTCATATAGTTCCCTCTTTAACCCCCACATTAACCTACCCCAGTGCTGCCTTTGGCAACTGCGACACAGGCCCTACTTCTCCTCGGGGCGCTGTCTTACGTGGGTGGCAGAGTAGGGTAGGCTGGCCATCTGTTATTTTGCCCTCTCTTTCTGATCTTCTTGCCCACAGAAACAGATTCTGTTGAAGTGACTGGCCAAGGTCCAGGGTGTGGGGGAGCCATATGACTTTATCTCAGCTACATGCATATCTGCTATCTTTATCATCAATAGCAACTTAGTAATTTTTTCTGAATGCCTCATGTTACAGATCATTGGCTTCACATATATGAATCGTACAAAGCAAAATGGATTCCATTTACAAATTCTGGCTTTAGCTTGTTAAAGGATTTAGCTCATAATTCTCATGAACTTGTCCCAGAGAAGCATTCTTAAATTAAAACCCTAAATTCCAGTGGTAAAAGTGGTTTATTTGATTTAAGTATGTGCTAAAGATTCTTAAAACCCACAGACTTCAAGGTTTAGTTCCTCATCTCAACAGATGGAATTAACACAAACATAACAAAGTTAACATCATGGTTGTTTGCATTATTAATCTTCAAATGTGTAGCATTCTGCTACCTTGCTAGCCAGGTTTGCACGAATCCTTTCATTGCAGCATATGTCAACAGAAATGTGCTTCCATCTGCTGCTGGATAGCTCGATGCCTGATATTCTGAGACAAGGCCCAGCATAATGTGCACCTCTGTGAGTAATTACAGGTGTGTGGTGAGGAGCCCAGGGCATTAATCAGAGGCCTAATTATGAAAAAGGTGGATCTTTTGTTCCACTCCTGGAGCATGAGTTTACCACACACTTTCTAAACTACAGCATCCATCTGCTCAGCCCCTTAGAATGTTTGCCTTGGCTGATATGGACCCTAAAGTGTATCAAAGGACGTGATTAAAGAAGGTTTAAACATTAACTTAGAAGAAGCATGGTTCAGGGTTTTCTTTCCTTTCTTCCTTCCTTCCTTTTATTTTTCTATCTATCCAATTATTTTTGGTAAAGGAAAAAGTCTGCTGAAACACTAACACTCTGAATTAGTACTTGCTAACTATTTACCATATGTGAGCACTAATAGGTTAGGCATTGTACAGTATAATGTATGAAGTATATTTTATATACTTTAAAGTATAAAGTATATTTTAAGATTTTAAGGGGGTAAATAGTGTGATTTGTAGAGACTAAATGAGTCCACTTTGTAAGGAAAAAATACGCAGGAAAAAATGTTTTGTGAACACATACAAATTCCCTTTTAAGAAGATAAGTTATTAAATGGGGTTATTTTTATTATGAAGGACTTAAGTTAACATGTTAGAATTTAGCTTGTTGCTACTTCTTTGCTTTAATTTAATTGAATTAAATCAGGATTATTTTAAAGGGTTTTTCCAATAGTCACACTGAAATCTAAGAAAAGAAACCAGATTTTTTTTTGTATTTTGCTTTTTACTCATATTGAGACTTACTATAGGTGGTATAACTACAAGTCACATAACTGTAGTACTTCAGTATGTTTGGTTAATGTGCACGGCCAGAAAGTGCATGAAAGAAGTTTTATGGTTTTTTTACTATCCCCCTTGCACGCTCACACACTCACACAGATGGCTTCAGAGGTGGACTGGCATGGATGGCATAAATGCTGTCTGATGGTGGACCCCTGATCTGCCACAGGCAGGAATGGGCTGACTGCCTCACCCCATTCAGAGCTGGGGGGTGAGAGGCCATTGAGACAGGAACACAGGTGGCTGGGGCAGGTAATAGTCATCTTGTCGCATACTGTGCAGAAGTGTGCTGCTGCTGCACTCTGTACTTGCACCTTGAGATCACACATGTACTTGGAACCACGATAACTCCCTGGCCTTAGCATATTATTGATCACTGCATTACCTTAGCACTCCATGCATTCCATTTTCTTAGCGCATAAAATTACCTGAAGAGTGAAAATTTACATCTTTTTGTCTACTTTAAGATTTTTTTAATGTAATAGTAAGTTTAACTTTTGAAAATTTAAAGCTAAAGACTGAACGTATTTTTTGTTTTAGTGATAGATGTTTGAAGGTTTTATCTGTATATCTACCTTAGCACTCCTGTAGCTTGCCCAAACAGCCTACCTCTAGGTGGAAGACAGAAGAAATGTCTAGTCCCAAAGCCCCAATTTTGATTTTGGACAAGTCATCTTACAGTTTGGTGTTTCCATTCTCCTGCCTATGAAATGGGTATAGTTGCCCTTAGAGTTCAAAAATTTCTGTGATCTGTGTACTCTTACATTATTATACAGTGATCATATGTATACACAAACTGACTACTTGGGAATTTTGTTCTTGAAAATTACAGTTGTGTTTTCTTCTCTTCCCTTTTAGGATGTCTTAAATACCATTATAAGACACTGTCCACCTCGCTTTTTCTCCCTGGGTTTACCTGGCTTCTCAATGCTGGTGGGAGACTTCATCACAGCTGCTGCCAGGGTCCTCAGTGCAGACATGGCGGTGAGTGTGACAATGCTCAGCATCCACACTCCCAGGAGGCTTCACAATCGCTAACAAGGTTCAGATTTCTCCACTCTTAACAGGTGTCGACTCATTAGTGCAATGTGAAACTGGGCTCTCAGGGTAGATACCCCGGCAGCTGATGTGTGAAATTGTAGGATAAGATGACACACTGGTATTGGAAAGGCGTTTCATCAAAAGGCCAAAGTGTGAGAAATCATATCCTTACTAATATTTCAGCACATTTACACAGTCAGAAGCAGGACTTGTCTCTTAGAATCTTATTAGCATTTTCTAGTAAATGGTGTTAAAGACATGAATGTCTGAAGAAAAGAAAGAATTTAAGGTATACATTAGCAGTAAGGTTTGTTTTTTAAATTAAGTCTTGGTTATTACAAGTCTCATAGAAAGTATTTTGTTCAAATGTTAGAACACTAAAATTTTAACCGAAATGAATATATATTTTCTTATTATTGTGCCAGAAAACTCTGGCAGAATTCTTGTGCCAAAAAATTAGAAGCAAGTGACTAAATGAACATTAAGGACTACAAAAAAGAATTTCTTTGCAATCTCTTCATTTACCTCCACTATTAAGGCACAGTGTCTTAATATCTTTTGAGAGAATACTCTTATACATTTAAATTTAAAGGGCCTTTCCCATGTGAGCTCTGTACAATTGTCATCTATTCAGAATCATTTTTTTCCCCTTCAAATGGTATAAATAAAATTAGTTTTATTATTTGCCAGGGATATATATTGAAGTCAATATGACTATCCAGCAACCTAAATTTTATTTGATACATGGTTACTTTTCATTTACTTATTTATTCTATGCAGGGTGAATTCAAAACTCCAAGCCCTAGGTTTTATTTTTTTTTATTTTTTTTTATTTTTTAAAAGATGACTGGTAAGGGGATCTTAACCCTTGACTTGGTGTTGTCAGCACCACGCTCACCCTGTGAGCTAACCGGCCATCCCTATATGGGATCCGAACCTGGGGCCTTGGTGTTATCAGCACCACACTCTCCCGAGTGAGCCACGGGCCGGCCCAAGCCCTAGGTTTTAAATTGAATTTTTTTTAACACTTTGTATAGCTGGTATTTCATGCTAGTAATTTCATGTACTAACTTTTTCTTATGAGGATAAATGAGAAAACCAAGAGAAGGGAAAAGAGGCAGGAGCAAAAGGAAAAAAAAGGAAAGTAAAAGAAAAAAAGGAAGAAGCAAAATGTTGAATTTATTCAGCTATTTTTCTTGTAAAGAATGTGACAACTTTTCGTACTTCATTATTTCTGGAAAACATTTTAGGATAATCAGTCTCAAAGAACCTTCAAATTTATTTATTTATTTATTTTATTTTTTCCTTTTTGTCTTTTTTACTGACTGGTAACGGGATCGCAACCCTCGGTCTTGCGCCCGTACCGGGGATCGGCAACGGGATCGCAACCCTCGGTGTTGCGCCCGCACCGCGCTCAGCCAGTGAGCGGGAACCGGTCTCCACATGGGATCCGAACCCTCGGCGGGAGCGCCGCCACACTCCCAAGCGGCGCACTCTCCAGTGCGCCACCGGGCCAACCTCAAATTTATTTATAACTATTCAAATCAACATTGAAAAAATTACAAAATATAGAAAGGGAAATGATACTTTTTTTATTAAAATTTTTATTTCTTGCTACAAGAGTGTCCTGTAAAAGTGATGAAGCCCCTTCTAGAGATAATATCACACACTGTGGTCATTCTCTGTGAAAATTTATCTTTTGGTTAGATGAGCTATTGAAGTAGCCTTTCAGACATAAAATTAGCGAACAAGTATATGAAAAAATGCTCAACATCACTAATCACCAGGGAAATGCAAATTAAAATTAACACAAGATGTCATCTCACAACTATTAGAATCAAAAAGACAGAAAATAACAAGTGTTGGGAAGAATGTGGAAGAAAGAGAACCCTTGTACACTGTTGTTGGGAATATTAATTGATACAGCCATTATGGAAAACAGTATGGAAGTTTCTCAAAAAAATTAAAGATATAACTGTTAAATGATCCAGCAGTCCCACTTTTGGGTACGCATTCAAAGGAATTGAAATCGGTTATGTTGAAGAGAGATCTGTACTCCCATGTTCATCGCAGCACTATTTACAGTAGCCAAGATATGGAATCAACCTAAGTGTTTATCAACAGATGACTGGATAAAGAAAATGCATATACACAATGGAATATCATTCAACCTTCAAAAAGAAGGATATTCTGTCATTTGCGACATGGATGAACCTGGAGGCCATTATGCTAAGTGAAATAAGCCAGGCACAGAAAAAGAAATACTGCATGGTCTCATTTATATGTGGAATCTAAAAAAAATTCAACTCCTCAAAGCAGAGAGTAGAATGGTGGTTAACAGGGGCTGGGGAGGTGGAGTAAATGGGGTGATATTGGTCAAAGGGTAAAAAGTTTCAGTTATATCATGTTGTACACCTTGAGTATATACAATTTTTATTTGTTAGTTATACTTCAATAAAGCTGGGGAAAAAAGAATCAACAAAAATAAGATAGCCTTCCCAAACGTTTCTAAAAAACAGACAGAAAATATGAACTGTAACTGTTTGAGTTACTTTCTTATTTAAACTTGAGGTTTAAAGTTATGGCGAAACTGATAAGAGGTGTTTGGGTGGGGCACACTTGCTCAGTCAAAGTTTTCAGTTAACACAAGCTAATTACAAGTCTAAAGTACCTCTGCTATATAGGTCTGCCCTGTTGAGGAAAAAAAGGGGGAGAGAGAAAGAGAAATGGAGAGAGAAATGCTCACTCAAGTCACAAGCAAGGGAGCTGTTAACTGCATCAAATACCACTAAGAGGTCGGATGAGATGGACAGAAGCTTGTGCACAGCAACATTGTTTATAAAATCCACAAGCCTAGAGCTAATCCAAATGTCCATCAACAATAAAACAGATAAATTATGGTGTGTACATAAGATGAAATATTACATGAAATAAAATCATGACAAGAAGTATCAATTGCATAACATAATATTGAGTGAAAGAAGTCAGACACAAAAGAACGTATACTCTAATTTCATTTATATAATTAAAAACCAGACACAACCAATTTGTGGTATCACACACCAGAATGGGGTTACTTTGGGGAGGGGAGGATATCGTGGGAGAGACACAGAAAGGACATCTGTGGGCTAGTAATAACATTCTTTCCGTTGTCTGTCCCTCAGGACTCTGACCTCTCCATCATTTCTTCTCTCTCTGCACACTCACAGAGATAGCATGCATTCAGTTCCTCTGAACAGAAAAGGCTCCCAAATTATTATCCCAGACTTTTTCTCTCCTATCCTAAAGACAAGCATTTCAGAAAGTCTTCTTCAGAACACCAGTCCCCCAAGATACTCTGGGGGCAAGGGGAGGAGGGAAGCCATGTTCATGGTCAAATAATTTTGAAAAATTCACTTACTCACTTGGAAATTCACAGTGTACATTAGCATGTTAAAAGCCCCTCTTTAACTGTGTTCAAACATCTTTCTGCAAATTTTTTTATTCCTGAAGTCTGTTTTTTCCCTTTAACGAATGTAGGACCCTAGTAGAACACACTGTGGGGACCACTGCCTCTGATCCTTTCATCCACCTGTCTCATGGACACCAGTCTCTGGTTTTGACATAGATGCACCAAATCCATCTTCCCAAGCAGAACACAGCTTATTTTAGAACTTCCTTTTTCTCTTGCCCACTCTGTTTGTCACCACAGTACCATGTCACCTTAGCCCTAAGCATGCTTCCTTCAGGCTCCACAGCTAATCAGGCATCAAACCCTAGGGTTATAGTCTTCATCTCTCCTGCCTACCTCTCCCTCCACTGCCACTACCCTACTATAGGCCTTTGTCACGTTTTCCACCAGGCCTATTGCAGTGGTCTCAGGTCTGATCCAAGTCTCACCCTCACTCCCGAAGTCATCTTTTCACCAGGCTGAGCTTCAGGAATGTACAGTGAGCATGTTACCCCCAGCAGTTAGAACTGGGTGTCGTTTCTCCAGTCACTATAATAAAAGCTTGGATTCTATAGCAGGGCCTAAGGGGGCACCATGAATGGGGCCCCTCACCTGGCTCTGCAGCCTCTCGTTCCCACTTCCTCTTCCCTGAGCAGGTCACTGACCACAGCAAATCACTGCACATCCTCTATCTTTGTTCAGGCAGCTCCCTTTGCCTGGAATTTTCTTCACATTCTTCACCAGTAGCTCTGTAGAATCAGTCCTGTGTTCAGTTCCAACACAGTCTCATACTAGTTATCTATCCTTGGGCAATATATGTAAGCACATGGGCTTCATTGTGAGTTGGGGCTTACCATAAACTCAAGTTTAGGGAAAATAATTTTCTAAATTTACTATATTCTTTGAATAAAGCTGAAACAACCCTTTATTTAAGATCTAATGCTTTGCATCCAGTTGTTATACAGTCTAGCATTCAAACTAGAATTCCACAGTGCAAGCCAGGCTCACATACCACACAATAGTTAAAGACTGCTCAGGGGAAAGAATAAACCTCAACAGAGTCTAAACCAGGATTGTCTAGTGGGGAAAGGGCAGCAGTTCTCTTTAGGAAACATTTGCCAATGTAAATTTCCTAGTATGTCCCAGGACCTGGCCTTTATGAGTAAGACAGCGTCTCTACCCTCAAGGAATCAGGTGTAAACTAAATGTTAATATTTGTGATTAAGTTGCTAGCAGCCATGGGAGAATCATACCCAGGACTCAAGAGTGTCATCAATATGAGAATAGCTCATTCTGTTTGGTGAGACATGGAGGGGAAGACACACACCAGAAGAGTCTTCATGTCAGAAATGACACTGAAGCAGAGACCTGAGAAGTGATCAGCACTCACCCAGTAAATAAGCACAGCAGCAGCCATGCCTTATCTCAAGGCAGTACTTATTGAGCATCTGCTGGCTGGAGAAGTGATGAAGACTGTCACACCCTCTGTCCTCATGGGGGTACGAGCATTAAATGAATGTGTAACGTGAAAGAAAGTGATGAAAGCAAAGAAGACTCCAAGCAGGGAGGCTGGAGAACTCAGAGATGAAATGAAACAATGTCTTGAATTTGCTTTAAAATATTGAAAGTGAACATTTTTAAGTGACTTTTAAATTTGAAGTGAAAAAATGAAAAGGGGATAGATGAAGTAAGAGTGGTAGTGTCTTCAATCTAGGTGCTGGGAACATGGATATAATGTTCTCTATACTTTTATGTTTAAGGATTTTCTTAATGTAAAAATAAAAAAGAGTAAAAGGAGCAGATAAGAGGACCAAGAGTGATGGAGGCAGAGAACTGTTACAGAGAATTGCAGAAACACTCTTGGGGAAGGCGGGGCTTGTCAGCACGAGATGCCTTCTGGACCCTGCATGGTGACGTCAAGCCAGCAGTCAGATTGCTGTAGATTAGATGCCCCCCAACCTCACTGAAGCTTAAATCTCCACTGTAACTGTTGAGGGTGGGAAAGCCTACTATAGCAATTGAAAGGTGGAGCCTTGAAGAGGTGATTAGATCGTAGGACCGTGCCATAATGAATCGATTAATAATGGTGGTGATGGGTGCGGTTTTGAGGGTTTTAAAAAGAGAGTGAATGAGGAGGTTCCTCTCTGCTCTCTCTGCTCCACCATTTTTACAATGTCATACTCTGCCATCACTGTTGTCACCACCAACGCTCTCAACAGATGTGTTCCCTGGACTTTGGACTTCCCAGCTTCAGAAACTATTAGCAATAAATTTCATTTTTTAATAAATTTCCCAGTTCCAAGTGTTTTGTTATAAGTAACAGAAACGGACTAACACACAGATCTACAGATCTGGAGTTCAGGAAGGAAGTCTGAGCTAGAGCGATGTGTTGGAGTTGGCAGCATGTAGGAGGCAATTAATTCCACAGGTCTGGATATCCCTTGGGAGTGAGTATAGATCTAAGAGGGAAGAGGACAAAGAACTGGGCTCAGCATTCCAAAGTTTAGGTCCTGGGGAAATGGGAAGTTCCAGCAGGGGGACTGCATCAGGTCTCCTTGAGAACCAAAAAAGGTGTCCCAGAGGCCACGCGATTAGAGTGTTCCCAGGAGTGAGGGAGCTGTCAACTGCATGACATGCCACTGAGAGGACAGATAAAGACTGGAAGATGACTCTTGAGTTTGCACTGTGGAGGTCATGTAACAGAACTGTATACTCACTGCCCAGCTTTGGCAAATCGTAACATTTTGCTGTAGTAGTTTTAAATCTTGGTATTTAAGAAATGAAATAAAACATTAAAGATACAGTGACTTTGTCTCTGATGCCATTGTCCAGTTCTGCGCTGTCATCACTCTTGCCAGGCTGTCCTCAGTGACTGCCTGATCCCTTCTCTCCCTGATAGCATCTATTTGCACTGCTTTCCTTCTGGGGTTAGTACTGGACAGCAGCATCCCCCAGGCAGAGTGAGAACTGTGCCAGGCGACCTGTGGGTCTCTTCCCAGGCGGCCCTGGGGCCTTTTTCAGACTCCTTCAGCTGTAGCTCCCCCAGTCCCTGCATGCACACTTTCATGCTCTCTGGGCTCTGTGCACCTGGGACCTCCTACAGTCCTGTGGGGGCCATGGGTCCTTCTGCCTTTGCCACTCCTCTGCCTGCCAGTGCCTCTTACCTACTCAGCTCACTCCCTCACTCAGCACCAGCCTGCCTGACTCCTACTGCCCTGTGCCACTCTTAGCGGCAGTTCATTGTAGTGTTTCCTAACCATCCTAAGCAGAATTGATCATTACCTCATCCCATAGAATATCTATCTCTGTATTTTAAGTTGTCCTTTATTTACCTGTGTGCTTATGAGAACCAAGCTAGGTAAAAAATGAAGCGTGGTGGGCCCCCAGCATGTCCCCAGTATGTTGCTGTGGCACATGCTTCACTGAATTGTATTATTTGCCTCTCTTCCCCCACCCCACATACCACACTCCCATCTCTCTGAGGGAGGGAAACTCTCTCATTTCATACCCCAGGTGCTTAACAATATAAGCCCAGGGCAGACCTGGGGTTAGATGGCCTTAGTTCAAATCCCAGGTCCATCACTTACGAGCTATATGACTTTGAAAAGCTTCTTAACCTGTCTAAGCCTCAGTGTTCTCACTGGAAAATGGAAATAACAGGATCTGCTTCATTGGGTCCTTATGGGGATTGTATGAGGAAATGCTTGTACAGCACTTGGAACAGTGCCTACCATAGACAGAGAACTCCTGAAGTGTTAGCTGCCATTGTCATAATTATTAGTTAATAGGAAATAGACAGATAGGTGAGTGGATGGATGACATTTGTGATCCTGGTGCCTGCCCCCATTCTTGGCTAATCATAGCTGCTAGTAAATGTTGGCTGAATTGAAATCTAGTGAAATGCCTCCTTTAATGTATACCTAATTCCAATAATGGACAAGTAAGTGATTAGTATCTCAGTACATGCAGAGATATAGTATCTCACTGTACGTTATTTTGCAAATTAGTTCTTGGTGAAACACGGGAAATTTGGTACATGGTGTCTTCTCTCTCTACTTCTGATAGTGACCTCCAGTCCCACTTCCTTATCAATTTTCCATAATTGTTCCTCACAGAAAAAATAATATTAAGTTGATCTCATTTACCCTACTTTATCAGGAACATTAACACTAAAATAATGTAAAACAGTCATTTGCCTTTCTAATTCTGAAAAAGATTCCCTCTTAAAACCATAAAAAGTAAAACATGTTGCTTACCTAAAGTTTGTAACTTACAGAAAGGAAAGTGTGTTGTGTTTTCTTTCCGTGTGTGCAGGCTCCTAGATCAGAAGCTCTCACCATCCTTGGATCCCTTGTCTGCTTTCCAAATACCTACCAGAAGATCCCTCTACTGCAGCCAGTGCCAGAAGTGAATGAGATTACAGGAACTGAAGATGTCAAAGTATGTAATGCATTTTGATTGAATCTCAAGTACAGCATTTTGTAATCCTAGCTATATGGTTATCTCTTCCGTTATTGTACATTGATCTACTTATCCCTGAAATTTTGCTATATCTTTTAAATGTTTTAATAGTTGTTTTTAGAAGGCTGTTTTAGGACCTATAAATGTATTAGATTCAGAGCATATTGCAGTTAGACCTGATAGCTGTATTCCTCGGGTGTTTTTTATTAGATCTGTTTATCGTGCCTAGGGATTATAATTATGTAATGAGTCATTCTTTGTAATAATTCTATTAGCTTAATTATGCTACATTAGTGCAACAAATGAATTTATGAGAAATAATTGAAATAAGCTAAATATTCAATTCCATTGGTCCTCTGATTAAATACTACTAATAATTTGAAATTCCAAATTATTCCTTGGAGAATAAAAGCAAGCATTTGTTCTCTACTCAATTGACTTTGAGGCAAACAAAAATGCTTTTAAAATTCCAGAATCAATCAATCTGTATTACATGATTACAATATATAATTCAATGTACGATATATAATTAAATTAAAGTAAAAGAAAACTGAGACTTTCCTATCTGGAAGTCTCATTTGCTTTGCTAGGTTTTCATCATCTACCCAGAAACACTCTATTCTAGCTGGCTTAATTACCCAGGGAGGCCCCTGCGGAGACTGCCATTGTGCTGCTCCTCCAGGTTCTCCCTGATAGAAGGGCTCCCTGAGCTCCCCAGTCCTTCAGTAGCTCCTGGATGCCTGGAACATGGTCAGAACATGTGGGAAACCAACCATAACACCAAGTTTTTATTTTACTTAATTTTGTGTTTTTAGCATTACCTCATAAATATTTTACTGAAGAATGCCACAGAGGAACCAAATGAATGTGCAAGGTAAATGTTGAATAAGAGGTAAACTATTTTAGAGTTTTAAGATACACATTAATGTGTAAACACTTATTATTTCACATTACTCTTACCCACACTAAAAATTGTAGTAAGAAATACGTTGGGAAGACACTTGGCTTGATTATTCAAAAAGGCATCACTATTACGTGAAAATAGTAAGGTGCGGAAAATTATACATAGTATGCTATATTTTGTGTAAGAAAAAGCAAGATTACAAATACATAATGTGTTCCTTGATATCTTCAATAAGAAAGAAAATGAAGGATAAACCAAAAATGTATAAGAATGGTATATGTACAGGGTAGTGATTCTCAATCAGGAATGATTTTTGTACCCTGGGAGACATGTGGCAGTCTGGGAACATTTTAGTTCCTTCTGCCAGGTGTCTGAGGTTGATAACATTCTTTGACCAAGATATAAGGTTTTCCTAGGCCACCTACATGATGAAAAGTTTCTACCTCTCCTCCCAAAGTGAAGCCCAAAGCTGGGAATGCAGGTGGAGGAACACCTGTCTCTGATCCTCAACTTCCAACCCCATAAGGTCACCAGAAGACCAGCTCAGTCTCTCGTTACCTCCTAGGAACTGGCTCATGCCCGGCTCCCTCCCTAGGCTCATTCCAGGACAGAGGCCCGTCATTTGTCACTGCCTCATTAGCAGTGATAAATTTGATAATTTTAAATTTCTTTTTTTTTTATATTTTGTCTAACTTCTTCAGTGGTCTTCAGTGGATAGTTTAGTCCAAATTTCCTAGTCTGCCATTACCAGAAGTGCTGTATTCATTATCAGTTTGCTAATATTAAATTAACCTTGCATTTTGGGGATAAACCCAACGTGGTACATGGCACTGGATCTGGTTTGTATAATACTTTGTTCAGGAAAGTTGTATTTATATTCATGGCCTGTGATTTTCCTTCCCCATCTGGTCCTTATCAGGTTTGGTTACACAAAGTTACATAGTCTCACAAAATGAGTTACATATTGTTTCAGTCTCACTAGTCAGGAGGAGTTTTTGCAAAATTAGAGTTACTATTCTCATGTATTTATTAGACCTTAAGGGCAAACTAAGTCTGCTATTTTCTTTGTGAGAAGGTTGACCACTGACTCATTTTCTTCAATGATTTTAGGAATATTAAGGTTTTCTTCTCTCTTTTTTTTGTTTGGCAGTTTTGATAAGCTAAATTTTTTTAGGAATTTGTCCATTTCATCTAACTGTTTAAATATACTGGCATACAAGTTGTCTGTATTATCCTCTTTTATCCCTTTCATTTCTACAGTTATATTCACTTTTTAACTCTGACACTTGCTGTGTATTCTCTATTTTTTAACTAGTCTTGCCAAAGATTTGTCAACTTTATTCTTTCTAAAGAATAGACTTTTGTCTTTGTTGAACCTATTTTATATTTTTATTTCTTACTTTCTGCGCTTTTTAATTCTTTCTTTATTTAAACTCTGTTATTCATTTTCTTACTTTTTAAGTTGTATTCATAGTAAATTAATTTTCAGCCTTTCTCCTACAAATATAAACAGTTAAGGCTATATATTTATTTCTAGGTGCTACTTTATCTGAATACTATGAGTTTTGATATATAATTTTTTTTTAATTTTTAATTTTTATTTTTTTACTTTTTTAATTATACATCCATGTGGGGTACAACATTGATTTTCAATAATTGTGTAGAATGTGTGATGGTTAGATCAGTATAGTTAGCTTATTCATCATTACAATATGCAATCATTCTCTGTGTCCATTGACCAATTCCTCATTAGTGCCCCCCCCCCTTTTCCACCTCTAGTTTTCTAAAAGTTCAACGTATTACTATAATTGTTGTTTCTTTCTCTCTCTCTCTATTGTTCATTTGTTTATTTATGGATTCAGCTGCCAGCTGTGAGTGAAAACATGCAGTATTTCTCTTTCTGTACATGGGTTGTTTCACTTAGGATAATTTTCTCCAGGCTCATCTATGTTGTTGCAAATGGTAGAATTTTATTCTTTTTTGTGGCTGAGTAGTATTCCATAGTGTATATATACCACAATTTCCTTATCCAGTCATCCATTTCAAATTTTGTCTTTCTATTATAATTCCTTTAGAAGTATGTTTTTTAATTTCCAAACATATGGATATTTCAATTTATCTTTTTACTTCTGATGTCTTAGTTAATTGCATTGTGGATCAAAATGTTGTCTGTCTGATAACATTCTTTGAAATTGTTAAGATTTGCTTGATGGCACAATATGTACTCAATTTTTGCAAACATCCTATCTATGCTTGAAAGGAATGTATACACTGTTCTTTAATTATTGGGCATAGTGTCCTGGATGTGTCCATTAGATTGACATTTTTTAAATCACATGCTTCAAATAATTTATCTTTTTGATTTTTTTCTTCAGCTTAATCATTTATTGAAAGAGGTGTTAAAATTTCTGACTGTTATGGTGCATCTATTTTGAAGCTATGTTATTAGTGTCAGAAGTTTAGAATTGTCCTATCTCTATAGTGAATCAATTCTTTTATATTTTTGTAGTGATCCTCTTTATATCTAAGGATGGTTTTTTAACTTAAAGAGTACTTTGTCTGACATTTATTTAGCTATTTTTAAATAATACTTTCCATCTTTTTAAATTAACCTTTCTATATTCTTCTGTTTTAGAGTCTTTCAAAATCTGTATATACCTGGATTTTGTAAATTTATCCTGCCTCATCTTTATCTTTTAACTGAAGCTTTAGTTCATTTACATTTGTTATAATTACTATCTGTTTGGGTGTATTTCTTTTATCTTATTTTATACTTTCTTTTTTAAATGGGCCTTCTCAATATTCCTTTCACATCTCTTTTTCTTGCCTTCATTTCCTCCCCCCTTTTTCTTTCTTTTTTTTTTTTTTGGTGGGGGGGAGTGGTATTTTATCCCACATTCTATTTACTACCTCTATTTTCTTTTTAAGAAGTCATAGAGTCTCTTTCAGTTCTTTTTGAGGTTATCCTAGAAATTTTAACGTTTGTTTTTAACTTGCCAATTCTGAAGTTAGTCTCTCTTTACCCTCTTCCTGAATGACAGTTGTTCCTTACAGTGTCATCGCCTGGTTTTGCTTCTGCCTCACTGCAGCTGCCCCCTTTCTGTGTCCTTTTCTCATCTCTCCTCCTCTACTTAACCTCTGAAGTTTTGAGTGACTCAGGGTTTAGGACTGGGCCTATCCTATCTCCATGACTTCCTGGGTGTTCTTATCCATTCTAAGCAGCCTTTAAATACTTGCTAATGATTCCCAAATTGTCTACCTGACCCCTTCAGCGGACCCCTTATATATTGAGGTGCATATATTAAACTGCCTACTTGGCATCTTAACTTGGATGTTTAACACATCTAGATTTAACATAACCATAACTGAACTCTTGAGTCTACCTACTAACCTTCTAGAGCCTGACTGTCCGTTAGATTTTATCTCAGCAAATGGCACCACTATCTACCTGGGTTTTCAGTCTAAAAACTTGGAGGGAATTCTTGATTTCTTCTTTGTCCCACACACACCATATTCAAACCATCAACAAGTATTGGCAATTCCTTTTTTCTTCTTTTTTCTTTACTTAGCCAAATTTCTGTGGAGTTAAAAATAAAATAGAAATATATATGGTATGGTCAGTTTTCTTTGAAGAATATTTTGTCCTAGCACATTGCTTAAAAGAAATAACACTGAAATTTATTTTTAAAGTTATATTCAAATATGTTTTAAAATACAATATAGCGTTTGTCTTATGTTTGAGAAAGGTGTTGCACATGTTATTGTAAGGAAAACAATTACAAACTCAATTTTTAACAATTTTCTAAGATTCATATTTTTTATTCTTCCTATCTTAAAACAATAAAATGTAAAAATAAATTAGTTTTAACAAAAATAAGTGACATATGGGCTATTATAATTAACACAAAATATGTCATTTGTTTCATTAAATATTTAAGTACTGTCTTAGCCAGTTTTCTGTTGCTTATAACAGAATATCCAAAACTGGGTAATTTGCAAAGAAGCAAAATTTATTTCTCACAGTTTTGGAAGCTGGGAAGTCCAAGGTCAAGGTGGTGTGTCTGGTGAGGGCCTTCTTCCTAGTGGAGACTCTGCAGACTCCTGAGGCAGTGCAGGGTATCACATGGTGAGAGGGCTGAGTGTGCTAACGTGCTCACTTGCTCTCCTTACATAGGCACCAGTGTGCCACTCCCGTGATAACCCACTCATCCATTAACTCATTAATCCTTTAATCCATGAGTGGATTAATTCATTCATGAAGGCATAACACTTACAGTCCAATCACCTCTTAAAGGCCCCACCTTTCAAGTACTCTATTAGGGAATTAAGCTTTTACATGCGCTTTGAAGGGACAGTTTATTCAAAGTGTTTATTAAAACCATAGCAAGTACTAACCATTATCATTGTTTCTATTTGTATTGGAACTGGCCTATTGAAGATTCCTTCTCTTTTCTCTCAAGAAATCATTCTGTTAATGTACCCATAATTTTTGTTATTTTGTATAAACAGATTTAAAATATTTTGTCATTGGAAAATACCAAGAAAATATATTGCTTAATGAGCATTAGTGTTCCTTTCCTTTCCTTTTTAAAAAGATGCATTGCCATTTGCTCCCTCGGGATCTGGATATGTGAAGAGCTTGTACAGTGCACGAGCCATCCCCAGGTGAAAGAGGCCATCAATGTGATAGGTGTAACTTTGAAGGTATTGCCAGTTTGTCATGTTTATTTGACATTAAGCTATATTCTAGACATTTGAACAGTTTTAGTTTGAATTAGCCCCATTTTTGTTGTCACCTGTCTTAGAGAGGTTGTGATTCAAACTTCCTTTTCTGAGAGCCATGGTGAATGTGCTGTGAGGTTCCCAGGAGATGCCCCCCATGGCTGCTTCCCCATTAGCACCTGCGACCAGGTGTCAATAGCTTTAGCATTTCTGGACCAAGCCCAGTGGCCAAATAGGGTTCCTTTGGTAGCTGGGCAGCTCCTATGTCAGGGAGGACAACTGTCACTTGTCCATGGGGGTGACAAGAAAGTGGGACTTCATGCCCTGGCCTCTTCAACAGGACTGGGAGAGGCCTCCACAGCTTCCAGTCAGGAGCCCTGAGTGTTCACCATCCGGCTGAACCTTGGGCACTTTTAGGACATGTTTCTTTGTTGGCTTTGTTGATGAGAAGAAGAGCTGCCATTTACTGGGCACTCACACTGGGCTAGAATAATGGTCAGCTCTCTACTTTTGTTGATCTCCATGACAGCTCTGCAGGGTAGATGTTACAATACCTATTTTATACCAGAGGAAATCAAGGCCTAGAGAAATTAGGTCACAAGTCCAAGGCCATGCAAGTATAAGTGATGGAACCAGCATTGAAAGCAGATCTGTGTGACACGAAAGACATAATTGAGCTTTTACATGTGCTGTTAGGCTGCTTCCTAAACAAGCTCAAATCCTGGCAGGTCCTTTTCTGGCTCCTGCTTAGAAATGGTGGTAATCATTCACATTGCCATTATTACACCTCCGAAACCAGCAAGCGCCTAGTCTCTGCCAGGCGCTTTGCAGAGGGCTTTGTGGAAGTTCTCAGTGGCGAGGTAAGTGTTTCATTTTACCACTGGAGGAACTGAGGTGCAGGAAAGTTAAGGAACTTGTTCAAGACTCTAGAGCCACCACCTGGAAGAACTGAAGTTCATACCTGAACCATCCATCTGACACCAGTGTCTGGGCTCTCGCTTGCCCTTCTTTGTTGCCTGCCACGTGTGGCTATAGTACTAACAGCAATTACAGCTGACGCTAGAGAAATCATCATCGGGCCAGCCTCTGTGCTGCCCTTTCTACATTTTCTGCTTCAGCTTATGGGATACCAGCCAGTGGTGTCCCCGCCCTTGGCTTGGGGAACGGCCCCCTGTGGTCTGGCCCCTGCCTAACCAAACTCAGTGCCTCTTGTTCCCCAAGTGCATCCTCTGACCAGACCCCTCTATCACCTCACCCTCCTGTCTAACATCAGCGGGGGGGGGGGGGGGGGGGGGGGGGGCACCCCCCCCCCCCCCCCCCCCCTGCTGCTGATCTCCCCCCCCCCCCCCCCCCCCCTGCTGCTGATCTCCCCCCCCCCCCCCCCCCCCCTGCTGCTGATCTCCCCCCCCCCCCCCCCCCCCCTGCTGCTGATCTCCCCCCCCCCCCCCCCCCCCCTGCTGCTGATCTCCCCCCCCCCCCCCCCCCCCCTGCTGCTGATCTCCCCCCCCCCCCCCCCCCCCCTGCTGCTGATCTCCCCCCCCCCCCCCCCCCCCCTGCTGCTGATCTCCCCCCCCCCCCCCCCCCCCCTGCTGCTGATCTCCCCCCCCCCCCCCCCCCCCCTGTCAAACCCGGGGGGGGGGGGGGGGGGGTCGGGGAGGGGGCAGTCATACCAGGGAGCTGAAAAATGCATGCTGCTGATCTCTGTGACGAGGAATGGGAAAATTATCAGACCACAACAACTCGTAAGAGTCTCCCTCTGGTCTGAGCAGGGTGCTGAACCTTAGAGCTCCCCCATGAGGCAAAGTGTCCCTGCTCCCCACTTCACAGATGAGGAAAATAAGCTGGGGGGGAGCCTCAGGAGCTTGCCCACTCTGGCCATATGCCTGGGGTTTTGCACAACTGAGGTGTGCAGGACACCCCCTGACTCACAAAGCCATGGAAAAATATTCACATATAGTTGTTAAAGTGAAAAAAGTTGGATACAAATTGTATTATCAGTAGGATCCCAATTTATTTTTTAAATACCCTATTATCTCAATTCTAAGATGTTTTTCAAGTTTTAATTTTTCTTAAATCTAGATGTATATATTTAAGGTGGTTCCCCTACATCTACTCCTTACCTGGAGAAACTGTTAATAACTTGATGGTTTCTTAGCATGAAGGAAATATATATGTGTATGTATATATATGTGTGTGTGTGTATATACATAGGTTCTTCAAAAATTTCATGGAATGATTCATATTATCTTTTAGTTCTCTTTTTCTACAAACTTTTTTTTTCGTTGTTGTTGTTTTGTTTTTTTAAATTTTATTTTGTCAATATACAATGTGGTTGATTATTGTGGCCCGTTACCGAAACCTCCCTCCCTCCTCCCTCTCCCCCCTCCCACCCAACAGTGTCCTTTCTGTTTGCTTGTCGTATCAACTTCAAGGAATTGTAGTTGTTATGTCTTCTCCCCCCCCCCGTTTTTTTGTGTGTGTGTGTGAATTTATTTATTTATTTGTTTCCTATTAGTGGTTTCCTATTAGTGATAGAAAAGTTGCAGAAATTTCAGGAATTTTGTAAAAATACAAAGAAGAAAACCTATCTTTCCCTCTACTATTCTATTCCTCTACTCTGTTATCAATTTTTACCTCTCTTCTCTACCATATAGAAAAAAATATATATGAGGGTACTTCAAAAAGTTTGTGGATAAATAAATAAATAAATAAAGATGAATAAAATAAATTTTACAAAATTCCTGAAATTTCTGCAACTTTTCTATCATTAATAGGAAACCACTAATAGGAAACTTATAGGCACCAGAAAAATAAAATGCATTTACCACATACAGAGCCCTTATCCATTGTCAGCCACTGTCCCTGCACAGTGCGTGGACTGTCCCATTGAATCCTCCCCCACTCTGGATAGATACTCCTGCCGTCCCCAATTTTGAAATAAAAGAGAAAGGGGCTGTGGAAGATCAAGGCGCTTGCTCCAGCTTGAAATGCTGAGAAAGCAGAGGGCTGGACAGGCAAGCAGTTCTGCCTGTAGCCATTATAACTGACAGAGGTAATGCATCGACTTAATTCCTGGTCCCTGGGGACTCCTGCCTCCCTCTTCGGCCTCCCTCCAATTCCTGTATTGCTATGCCAGCTGGGTTATTTTACTGAAGGACATAGTGCAGAAATCTAAGAACTGACGGCTACAAGGGAAAGAGTTGCCACAAGGTACAAGGGTTAGGGAGGCATTGGGGCCCTGCCAGGAGAGAGAGAAATGCAGGAAAGGAGGGGGCTGCTGCGTAGACAGCAGAGGCACAAGCCCCAGAAGGGCTTCCTGCCTGCGGCTTCACACAGCACCAGGCACGGCCTTGCTTGTAACGGTGCCCTTCAGAGCCACTGTGTAAGGGTGACTGGCTTTGCCTGTGTGTGGGAAAAGCCAGCCAGCTGCTGGCTGCAAAGATTTCCCCTAGGGGTGTTGATGAAAACTCTCCTGTGCCAAGCAGCAAGTGGGAATAGTGGGCCAGGCTAGCTGTTTGTGTGTTTGTGTTTGGTGGAATAGCGGTGGGTGGCAGGTGTGTGTGTGTTGGGGGGATGGAGGTACTAAGTCATACCCATTCTCACAAATGTCGGTGTCTCATCAGGGAGGATGTGGGCCACACGCCGTAGAGTGACATAGGATGAGGCTTGGGTGAGCTACCTAACCCTGCACCCTTGGTCCCACCTGCTGCTCCATCTCCTGCCCCATATTCTGAGACAGCACTGACTTTCCTGCTCCTCCTTACCCCACCAATCTTTCCAGTCACCAAGTCCTGTGGGTCGGTTTTACTTGGCCAGGGTTGCTGATGTAGGCTGGGCAGCAGATCGGCCCTCCGTATTGCTGTCAGAGCCATCTGTCCCCTGCAACCTACAGGCTAGAGTACTAAAATGGCTTTTGGGGGCATAGCTGAACAGGTCCCTGCCTGCCTTAGGGGACTGTCAGTTCCTTGAAAGTAGAGACTGCCCCTGCCTTGTTCATCTTGTGCCTTTAATTCTCTGCTTTCCATTCAGTGCTGCCACATTGGCGGTACTTCATGACGATGTGCTGGGTGAGTGAGTGAGTGAGTAAATGACCTACTGCATCCCCACTTTTCCCCACCTGGCTGGTTATGTGTCAGTAATACCGCCTGGCTTGCAGCCCCCTATATCCCTCCAACTTTTCCTGCCTTTGTGCCTGTGCCCTGCTGCCCAGTGTCTGGAAGGAAGCCCTGGCTCTCCATCTGCATTCTTCTGGGGCAGCTGGGCCCCCCCCCCCCCCCCCCCCCCC